AGCAGAGACCCCAACCCCCCCCACCCCGGGGCCTCCATGCCTCCTCGACCACCTGGCATCCAATTGCACCGGCTCTGAGATGAGATGTCGCATGTTCCAAGAGCCAAAGCTTTCCCAGTCTGCACTAACCGTGTGATTCTCCGAGTGTCAGAGGTTGGAACGAAGTGGTCCCAAAGGAGTCACGATACTACATGCTTGACACCCTTCTTACATGCATCCTGGCGTGCCGGGGGCCCCCTGCTGGGACCCCAAACCGAGGTGGAGACCTTTCATCCAGAGATCAGCCGGCTTTCAACTGAACTGGTGCAACTTTGATAAATCCTGTCATCTAACGGGGTAGAGCATATGTGCATTTGACGGTGGAGCAATGCAAATGTACTGGTTTTAAACATTTATGTGTGTTTGCGGGTTAAGTTAATGGGTTGGATTAAGATGGAAAATAATTTTAACAACTCGTTCTGCATAAAACATAAATGACAGGCTCCTTTAGTGCGTGTTTAAAAATGTTCAATTTAAATAGGTCTGTCACGTATGCAAAAACAATCACTTTTCAGGCCAAAAAATATATTCTTAGAAATACATTCATTTATTGGATTCATTTTTTGCCATGGGCGCACAAACACAGAAGAATAAAACAGAATAATTAACAAACAAAACATGAGTCACAGAAAATGTATGCACACAAATAAGGCTGAATTAACAAAGAATGAAATATTTAGTGTGAATGTGGAAAAGCAAAACACACAAAATCAAAACAGTGGCATAGCAGGCCAAGAGCATCAGTACTTTAACTTTTGTGATGAAATTGCTTTTGATTACACACTCTGTTAGCTTTCCATATGTTCAAAAGGGCCTAATACAAAACCAGAAATAAGCAAAGATCCAGCTAAGAAATGTGCATGCTCGGCCCTTTTAAACCGTCATTAAAGCAAATCAAGAAGTGGGCAACTATATCATCAATCTATACGACTATCCAGGGAATACTTTCATGGTGAAGGTTCATTAGGGCGACATTACATGAGTAAAAATTGAATTATTGCGCAGCAGGAGGGGAATTGGCTGCAACTTTCCAGAGCTACCCACTGTAAGACCTCCGTGCAAATACACAATTACTGTATGTTCGCAACCATGATGACAGACAATCCCTAGCTTCCCCGCTCTAAGGATGGGATAATTAATTTTCTACGGAGGCTAACAAGCTATAGGCTCCACATGAAGGGAAAGACCACCAGCCAAGAAACCTCAAGAAGTTTTTTGTGCAGTTCCTTATTAGTGGTGTGCACGAAGCAGGTTATTAGCAGACGGTTTGTGGCACCTAAAAGAGGGCTTTGCAGCTTTTGAAGGCAGGAGAGAGAACCTGAACACACTCAATCCCTGGGACTATCCCTCAAAATGATTTTGGCTTTTGACCTTGACGCAACACTGCCCTAGCATGGCACAGGGGGTTAGGAGGGCTATTAGCTGGGGCTACTAGAGCATGGGTGACGGACAGAAAGGTAGCAGTGGGTGTCAGTGAGTTGATAGCGTCTCTAAATAGATATTGACGATCCAATTTGTAGCTCCTGTTATAAATGAGATCATGTGTGCCCGATTTGTGGGCCCATTCATTAATTATTGAAAGGCTACCGTTCAAGAATTGACTTACTATAAATTGAAGGGACCAAGCGAGTGCCGTGGTGTATTGAAACGGCGGGGGATGTTCGGAGAAAACATGTTTTGTTTGAACTTGACTGGATTATATACTCTTTTGGCCCACGTAAAATTTGGAATATATTTTTAAGTGCAATAAACAACAAAAAACAGAAAACACTCGAGCAGTTTGGACATTATTCCTCGCAGATGCAGGAGGATCTAAGGACAGTGATGAGCCGAGACTTTTAAGGACAGTTAAGCCTAGCGTACATCGACAGAGAAACTGGGGACAACTAGTTGCAAGGCGGCTTTTGGCAACTGAGAGGAGATGGTGGGAGATGATCAGTTGGCGAAATCGGTCGATGTGCGCGCTCTTACAACTGGAGATGATCAGTCGGTCTCCAGTTCCAGTCAGTTGCCCGTGTTCTACTTTTCGGCAACTAGTTGTCCTCAGTTGCCCCGATGTGCGCGCTCCATGCGCCGCTCCAACAACGTGTGTGTATTGCGTGTATTGCGAGCCCGCAACAGTTTGTTGTCAGAAAACACACTGTAGTTGAGGCCAGTTGCTGTCGATGTACGCGCTGTTATTCAAGAGACTGGCCTGCGACTCAGAGTTGCCGTTTTCGCCAGATTGTCGATGTGTGCGGGGCAGCAACTCAGAGGCGACGGATATAATCAGTTGCCAGTCCGATGTACGCTAGGCTTAAGGGACATGTTTGGACATATACAGACATTGGTCAATCTTCTCCTGATTCTCTGATGTGTCGTGTGTGAGTTGGCAACTTTGTGAAGTCCATTGAGACGACTGCCTTTGTGATTTAGAGCTACTTAAAAATAAATTGAACTGAATTGACAAGGTGCACATTGTTTGAATAGACAATTTCTAATTTGGCCGTGCTTTACAGGAAGCTGGTCCTGGGTTTGATTCCACCTCCAGGTCTTTCTGTGTGTCTGCATAGGTTTCCTCCAGGTGCTCCGGTTTCCCTACCACTAAAAACATGTGCAATAGTCCCAAAAAACACCCAACTTCACCCACCCCCCTCTCTCCGGGGCCAGGACTCCTCTGAAATAGAGATTCTGCAATGTCAGCGAGCCTTTCCTGGTTAAATAAAGATCAATAAAAAAGATACATAACATAACAATATAACTTTTATTGATTTACACTTAAAACTTTACCATGTTGAATTCAGTTTGCTGCTCGCTTTTAATTGAGATGATGAAAAATGTGTCTGACTTCATTTTGGCATTGATTTCAAGTCATAATAATCTGCACTCTTTGCTCAGCGATCGATACTGGATTGGAAACGGCCGCCTTCAGCCACGGTTACATCTTCGCCCGTCGCTGTCATGCACACGAGTGACACCCTTAACCACGCAGGTTTGTCAATGTCAGCATTAATGCCACTGGCTCCGGCTAATCCGTGCTGACCCTTCATTCCTTTAAACAAACATTGCATCAGGCCTGTGCTGAATGAGAGACCTCCAAGCCATGCCCCGGTCTCTGCCAGTCACTTTCTGAGCCCGGCCTGTATGGATGATAAACGATATGAAAGCGATACAGTGGCGGTGCCCATGGGGTGGAAGAGATGTCCGTGGCCTGAGCCTTGATCCGGAGGCTGTGGACCACACAATGACACTGATCTGGGCTGGGGGGTTGTGTGCAGAAATGCTGCCATGCAGGACGTGTGTGTAAGGTGGAAAAGTGTAATGAGGTTGCAAGTCAAGTCAATTATCGCATAGTTGAAAAGTTGCAGTAGATCAGCGGACGTTTGTGATCTATCGTTGGGTATGTGGAGAGACAAACCAAGACTTTGTTCTGCACGTCATATAAATTGAGATAGATTTACAACTGTGTTTTTGATTTGCTGACCTCTTGAGGTTGGAATACTGTTTAAACTCCAATGAAAATCTGGGGTTCCGTACTTTCAAACCACATAAAATGGAACTATGTAATAAAAAAAACATCTAACTAGCTCGCCACGCTCAAAACACATTGGTTCTGTTTTTGGTTTTGGTTTTTGTCACATCTGTAGATCAGCTTTTCAGTCAGTGAAAGAGAGACTTTTCTCACTCACAAAAGTGTCAAATAGTCAGGCTCCCTCTGTATGCAAACAATAACATGTTTTCTAATGTATTTTATATTAAATTATCCCCCCAGATGAGCTGGAAGAAGTGTGTGTGGATAGGGAGGTCTGGGTGTCTCTGCTTAGACTGCTGCCTCCGCAACCCGGCAACAGATGAAGCGGAAGAAAATGCATGGATTGATTTGAGATTAAAAAGTTATAGCACCACAGCTTTAAGTTCTAAATTAGCCCAATCTTAAAACTATTTTGCCACATACACAGGAAAAGGTCACATTTTTGGCCAATTTTCAACAAGGCCATTTAAATACGTCTTTAATGTCCATTTTAAACAGTTTTCCCATTTATTACACACGATGTCACCCTGTCCTTGCTGATGAATCCGTTGTCACCCCATTTCTTTGTAAGAGCTTTTATCTCTGCACCAAAAGTACATTTCAAAAGTTACAATCGTCCATTGTGTTCCTTGCTGCATACCCTAGAACAGTAGTTTTAATATCGAGGGGAATGTTAATGATTTTCGCAGAGCTTTTTATACCCAGCTGTACATTTTACAAACCAATCATCAAACACCAGCGCTGGCAAAGACAACCCAGTGCTTCTTCTGTCACTCAAGATATTTCTCAGATGTCAGATCAAGGAAGCATAAGTTCTCTTGATTTCCATCGCAGGGTAATCGCCAACGTTCAGCCTCTAGTTGTCTTGCAGAGTATTTATTGAACTATTAGCTTCCAGCATGGCTCTGTTTGCAGTTACTCCTCACCCTGGTGCCCTGATGGTGATGCCAATTCCAGAATCAAATTGTGATGTTTTTACGCTTTACGCTTCAATGCATTTGCACAAAGGCTTGGCCCCGTAACCTATAAGCTCTTTAATCCAGCCTGTAAACATTAAAGAGATGCCCAACGGTGCCAACATGTCCCAGCTCTACAGAGCCACTGCTTCCTCTATGCAATCTAATTTTGGATAAATTCAATATGGAAAAGAACATTGGATTTTGATTTGATATTATTAGATCGTAACTAAAAACACATTACATAAGACGGTCTAAAGTGAACCAACATGCAGTCTGATTCAATCTCGGAGACTGCCACTTCAACCCCAGAGTCCACCAATCAATTAAACCTTAATAATGAATGAAAGCTTAAAGAACCATTTCTTTCTGCAGGGAGTCGATGCCCACGAGTCTAAACTGCTATCACATTCTGCTGCAGGGACCCAGGGTACATAGATTCTAATATTTCAACTTCAGCACCACTGTAAATCCTGCTCACACCGTCCGTCGTCTCACCCCAATGTGCTGTCCTCGTTCAGGGGGCTAACGCCACTGGATCCAACACACAGGAATAGCCACAGGCCTGACTTTGACAGGTATGGACCCTGATGTAACGTTCAGAAATGACTGCGTAGAACAAGTTGGACTAGCAGTTCAAGAGACAGCAAGATTCTAGACAGACATGAGACGCATATAGCCCAGCACTTTGAAGCCACAATCAGATCGAGTCAGTGCACATGACATAACTTTGCAAATTAAATCAAAGTAAATCAGACTTACCCAGAAGATGAGGTTGAAGACAAACATCAAATACTTCAAGCAGCAAAGGATGCCTCTGGCCATGTTGCACTTCTTGAATTCTAGAAGGAACACAAACGATAGATCCAGGTAAAAGACCACGTACTTGCTTCCTTTAGGAGAGCTGTATTTATTGTTTGATTTGTCCGCTCCACTGTTTTCGGCACTCGCTGCTGCTTGCGCCTGCTGGGATTCTTTGCGTGGCCCGGTGGAGCCGTAGAAAGCTCCGGCAGTGAAGCCTCTGCCACCGATCGGGCGGCCGGAGGTGGAGGCTTGCGGGAAATCTGAGTCTCGGCTGTCTATGGAAGGGCTGCGGTGGATGGCTGACTCCTCGCTGCTAGACTTCTCCATGCTCTGAGGCTGCTGCTGCTGACCGGGGGCTGTCTGACGCACGCTCTAACATAGTCTCACAGATGACAGGAGCGCACAATCCTATCCCCTGAATCACCACTACCACTGTGCCAGCCAGAATAGACTGATAGATAGATCTCTCACAACTTAAAACATGCAAATCCAAAATGAATGAAGTCTAGAACAAGTGCTCAGGGCAACTCTGCACGCTCCAGGTCTCCTCCTCTGTCTCCGGCTGATGTCTTTAACTCCACAACAATCACTGCAGTAGGGTTCGAAACGCATTCCCTCCTTCAGAGCTTGAGGGTTTTGTATTCCAGTTATAGATGCAAAGCAAAGCAAGGCAAGGTTTCTTTCGTTCTGAGACGCTGCTGCTGAGCCGGTAACTTTTCACTATTCACTTGCTTCTGATGCTCTCTGATCTGTATTCCTGCTTGCGTCTTTCTTCGTCTTGTCCGGCAACGCTTCTCTCTCTCTTGCTTCCTCTCACTCTGACAGCAGCGCTCAGGCTCATGTGCTGTTCTCGGCAGACGCGACTAACGGGCATTCTCTCTCTCTCTCTCTCTCTCTCTCTCTCTCTCTCTCTCTCTCTCTCTCTCTCTCTCTCTCTCTCTCTCTCTCTCTCTCTCTCTCCTCTCTCTCTCTCTCTCTCTCTCTCTCTCTCTCTCTCTCTCTCTCTCTCTCTCTCTCTCTCTCTCTCTCTCTCTCTCTCACAGCCAAACCCCCCCCCCCCCCTCCCTCATGCTCACAGCCAATGGAACAGCTGCTGCCCCCATGGCCCCTCCCCATCAGTGCTGCCGGTGCCTTTGGTTAAAGCCATGGCAGTGTTTGCTGTGAGTGTACATGTGGAGCGCTCCTCTCTCTCGCCGCAGTCTGAACGAGTGACAGGGCAAATGGTCGAATCCAGTGACAGGGCAGAATGCTATGAGGAGAAAATAAAATAAAAATCAAAGTAAAGGGTGTGGAGCTATATATATTGGAAGATCAGTGTGGTAAACTAAACTGTATCTAAAATTAAGATTAAGAGATTCTTGATTTGTCCCACAATGCAGAAATTTCAGTGTTGCTTCACTGGTTATAGAACAGAAGGAAAGTAAATTAACAATAACTGTATGCATATGATAAATTCTCAAATCTAACCTAAAATTTGGGAAATAAAGAAGCAAGTTTACAATCTCAAACTAGAAGCATGAACAAAATAATTTCTTTAGCAATAATCTTACACGTTTTTTCTTTCATAATAATCTAACCTCCTGTAAAGGTAAAATCTATTCAAACATTCTGTCCTCTCCTTAGACATTATTTTTTGCATATTTTAAAGAGCCCTGCAGCTGAGAGCTGATTGGCCGAGTGAGGGTGCTTCTTTCTATTTCACTTTTCTGTCCTTCTCTGATCCAAAGATGTGCCAAAAATACATGCAAAAACTAGCAATAAAGAGATTTTAAGCTTCTTTATTATGCTTCCTACTGTTCTGTAACCGGTGATACATCACTGCAATTTAATCTCTGTGAGACAAATGCAGAATCTCTTAATCCTAATCTAGCCGTAAATAGTTTGACAGTTACACACCCGAGCTTTAATCAAAATGTTCCTATAAATAACATAAAAAGGCTCTCTCTTCAAAGAAATGGAATTATCCTTAGTATTTGATGTGGGTGGTCACAGTGGGGAAGCCATATAGTTTTTTTTTTTTTTTTTTATAAATCCATCTCTGGGCCGAGCACATCCATGTAAGGGGAGACCAATTAACTCTGGCTGTGGAATTATGGCACCTTCCGAAGCATGGAAACGGGATCGGAGCCGGAGACAAGGGATACTGTGACCCAAACTGAGGTCAAATATTTACATGCACTAATGATTTCAAGACTGCAAAACTGACTGAATAAACTTGTGGATTAGCAACTAGCCTCATTCGATTTGGTGTCAAGAAAGGGCAGATATAATCTCTCTCCCTTAGTCTCTCTCTATGGTCTCTCTCTCTGGTCTCTCTCTCTGGCCTCTCTCTGGTCTCTCTCTCTGGTCTCTCTCTGGTCTCTCTCTCTGGTCTCTCTCTCTGGTCTCTCTCTCTGGTCTCTCTTTCTGGTCTCTCTTTCTGGTCTCTCTCTCTGGTCTCTCTCTCTGGTCTCTCTCTGGTCTCTCTCTCTGGTCTCTCTCTCTGGTCTCTCTCTCTGGTCTCTCTCTAGTCTCTCTCTGGTCTCTCTCTCTGGTCTCTCTCTCTGGTCTCTCTTTCTTGTCTCTCTTGTCTCTCTTTCTGGTCTCTCTTTCTGGTCTCTCTCTGGTCTCTCTCTAGTCTCTCTCTGGTCTCTCTCTCTGGTCTCTCTCTCTGGTCTCTCTCTCTGGTCTCTCTTTCTTGTCTCTCTTTCTTGTCTCTCTTTCTGGTCTCTCTTTCTGGTCTCTCTTTCTGGTCTCTCTTTCTGGTCTCTCTCTCTGGTCTCTCTCTCTGGTCTCTCTCTCTGGTCTCTCTCTGGTCTCTCTCTGGTCTCTCTCTCTGGTCTCTCTCTCTGGTCTCTCTTTCTGGTCTCTCTCTCTGGTCTCTCTCTGGTCTCTCTCTGGTCTCTCTCTGGTCTCTCTCTGGTCTCTCTCTCTGGTCTCTAAGACATTATTAATTGTGTTTCTGTAGAAATGGTTTGTGTCCTTGTTCTGTGTTATTTTTATTGTGATTGTGAAAAGAGTAATAGAGTTTAGATGCACCAATGGTTTCAAGCAAAACTGAATAAACCTGTGGATTAGCAGCTAGCCTCATTCGTTTTAGTGTGCAGCGGGGGCAAATATTCAATAAGTTTGAATAATTAAAACGGTCTGCACAATGCAATGTATACGTGTCGAGGGAAGCTTCCCGGGGTTAATCTCTGGCTCTTCGCCGACTGGAACAATTGGAACAACAATAGAAAAGACCTCGCTGACTCAGAGAAACAACTTTTTGTTCCTTTATTCCCTGCAGCACGGTGAGACTTAACGCTACAGTCTCTACTACACACCACATTGTTCTGGGAGGTAACGGCGGCCGGTCGGTGGACTGAGAGGAGATGTCTGAGCCCGCGGACAGATGGAACCAGACTTTCAACTCGCCAGTCTTAAAGTAAATCCAGTAAGACCAGAGTTGACAAAGACGACATAATCCTATTCTCTTGTGTGCTTCAGCAGAGAGTGAAAAACAGCTTCTAGAGTGAACACCTAAAAAGTCTAAAATAATCATATGGTGACATTTTGATACTTGCTTTATGGAGATCTGGTCTCTCTCTGGTTATCTCTCTAGTCTCTGTCTAGTCTCTCTCTCTGTACACTCTCTGGTCTCCCTCTGGCCTCTCTCTGGTCTCATTACAGTCCCTCTCTCTGGCCTCTCTGGTGTCATTCTGGTCTCTCTCTGGTCTCTCTTTTCTCTCTCTGGGCTCTCTCTGGTCTCTCTTTGGTGTCTCTCCCTAGCCTCACTATGATCTCTCTCTCTGGTCTCTCTCTCTGGTCTCTCTCTGGTCTCTCTCTGGTCCCTCTCTCTGGTCTCTCTCTCTGGTCTCTCTCTGGTCCCTCTCTCTGCTCTGGTCTCTCTCTGGTCTGGTCTCTCTCTCTGGTCTCTCTCTGGTCTCTCTCTGGTCCCTCTCTCTGCTCTGGTCTCTCTCTGGTCTGGTCTCTCTCTGGTCCCTCTCTCTGGTCCCTCTCTCTGGTCTCTCTCTCTGGTCTCTCTCTCTGGTCTCTCTCTCTGGTCTCTCTCTCTGGTCTCTCTCTGGTCTCTCTCTCTGGTCTCTCTCTCTGGTCTCTCTCTCTGGTCTCTCTCTCTGGTCTCTCTCTCTGGTCTCTCTCTCTGGTCTCTCTCTGGTCAGTCTCAATCTTCTAGCCCACTCCTTAAGAAGTAGAATTAATACTGATCAAAGAAATAAATAAATACATAGGAACACAATCTACAGCAGGGTATTTATAAAAACATAACTCTGGGAACATTGTCATTCAAGGACCGTGTTAATGTGAGTAAAGTGCTTGAAGCTGCCAAAAACAAAAGCTTTCTGTAAAACATTTATTACCTCAATCACCCAAGCATCCGTACACACACACACACACACACACACACACACGCACACGCACACGCACACGCGCACGCGCACGCGCACACGCGCACGCACACACACAGAGATTAGGTGTCCTGCCCAAAGGCACAGCAGCAGCGGCACTCATTAACCTGTGGGTCAGAGCACATCCTTAAACTGTCCAGCTCGGGTTTAACAGGTTGTGGCTTCTCCAGAACTTTCTCACACTCCTCACGACTGAGTTAGAAAACTGTGGATATTTATTATTTTATTATTGTGTGATTTAATGTTTTATTCATTTTAATTACCTGTGTGATTTTAGTTGTGTTTTTAATGGTGATTTGGGGGTTTTTGCATGTTTTATGTGAAGATATTAGGAAAGGCGCTCTACAAATAAATATGGAGTTGTTTCCCGCTGACTTTAGTTAACACTCAAACTCCCGGAGCAGTCAAACTGACGGCTTTTCATTTTGGAAGTGTAATGCTTCTGTACGTCCTTGGTCTTCATAACTTTGTGACTTTTTCTGTTTCTGTCTGTAGTTTAATTATGTTTATTAAGTCCAGACTGGTCCTGGACTGGTTCAGAGCCAACTCAGCCTGGAGCAAGTGCTAGTTACCATAGCAACGCACTGTTAAATCGCATCAGTTAGCATTTAGTTTAGCTGCATGTATAATAACCAGTTTTAGCATGTGTTAAAGATAAAACACAGTATGAATGACTTAATTTGGAAAAAAAAGTAGTGAAAAACTAAAAATGCTCAGAATTCCTGCTTTTCATGATCCATATCTGACACTAAAGAAACGGGTTGAAGCGCTTTTACTGGTTTAGTTAAGAGAATATTCATTAGAATTACAGATCACACACTGCAGCCTCCAGCTCTGACAAAGGATCTTAGACACATGTTTGAGACACATCCAAGGGTTTGTTAAGAGACAATGTTGGGAGTAAAAAGCTGCACGTGTCATGTCCTCATTGCTGTGTTATTGTTATATGTGTTGGAAAAGGCTAAAAGAAGCACTGTGTTTGCCTATTCCTTGTTTTTGGTAGTAATTCATGATATTATATCGTTTGAACAGTTTCTTTGTGGAAGAAATTATCAAAATCAATGAATCAATATAAATATAATACTTTCTGTACTTGCATTGTGTTTTGTACTCATATCTTTATATTTTATGTCCCTGTGTACCTCTGACTACTGTAAGTAAGTAATGTTTATTTATATTTTACAGACCAAGGTACAGACGCAAAGCACTTTCCAATGTTCAGAGTCAGATATTGTTCCAATCCTTCCACACACGGTGATGACAGAAGCGAGTCCAGAACACACTGGACCATCAAAGCCTCTGACCCAACACCATCTATTCACTCTCTCATTTACATTCAGACCTATTGTGCATGTTTTTAGTGGTAGGGGAAACCGGAGCACCCGGAGGAAACCTACGCAGACACGGGGAGAACATGCAAACTCCACTCAGAAAGACCCTGTTCCGGCCAGGATTTGAACCCAAGACCTTCTTGCTGAGAGGCGGGAGTGCTAACCACTCAGCCACCGTGCCGCCCGTACTGTGTGACTGTCTGTCTATGATTGTCTGTGTTTTCTGTCTCTGTCCCTTCTCAAATAAACCAAATAATATGAATACTGTTTTTATTTTGAAGCTTCTCGGTCACGGTGAAAATGTTGAAAATTGTTGGGAAAAAACCTGTTTCTATAAAAATGTGTGCGTGTGTGTTTAGATCTATGATGGTGCATAAATGATTATCTGCATTTGGCGAGTGGCAGTCCTCGTGTACGCCAGGATCGTTCTCCAAAATTACCCAATTTCAGTTTGATTTGTTTCCCAAAGTAATGCAATGCAAATGGTCCACGGTGAGAGAGCTAAAAGATAACGACGTCTGACGGGAGATGACTGTCGCTGATTACGAGTCCAAACAGGACGAGAAGCCCGGACTGCAGATTGTGCTGCAGAGGTATTTTCCCACAACAAAATGGAGTAAATAAAATAGTTGTTTGTGGATTAATAATGTTTCAATAAAGCCTTGTTTTTGAGTGTTCCTTATTATTCTGGTTTTCAGTTTCAGTGGCTTCCAAAACATGACTGGCACATTTTGTCATGTTTACAAACTCAAAAAAAGATATTTTTCCCGATAGAAAGAAGACAGAAGAAAGTATCACGGTCAAAAGTGAAGTAAAAATGAACAGATGTTTGTAATTACAAGTTTTATATATTTGACATAATAATATTCCATCAGTTTTATATAGCAACTTCTGTACCACCAACCATTCACACACCAGACCCATTCTAATGTGGGGGAAGTGTCTTGCCTAAGGACACAACCACAGTTTGGCACTTTACAGCCGCCCCACTGTGGCACCTTGTTTTCACAGAGGTCTCCCATCACATTACTAACCAGGCCCTGCCCTGCTTAGCTTCAGAGGTCTGATGGATCTTGCTTTCACCTGTTGGGGGCACCATTTGCACCAAGGCCCCGGCAACAGAGTCCTTTGAGAGTGCATTCATCCTAAATCTTAGCTTTAATCTGCAAAAAACTTGTTGCAAACTTGTTACCCTTTACCGTTCTTTAGCAATCTGTCATAGAATATAATATAAAGTTTAATCCAAAACTCTGCTCTCACCTGAATTCGAAGCGATGAGCGTTCTTGTATAGATCAAGATTCAGTCCATTTTCCATTTGCAGTGAAACCACATTGTACAGTTTATAGCAGCGACGTCATTGGTCCAAAAAAGTTTGAGCAAATGACTATTATTGAAGTCTCATGGTCCTGTACCAGAGACCGAAGGATTCTGCTGTTATAGTAAACTTCAGACACACTTGATCAGTGAGGAGTGGGTGAAGCGAGAGGGGGGTTTGTGTGTGAGAGCGCAGAGTGCTGTGATAAACAGGTGTTTTTAGAAGTGGCACTTTATAACTATAGTCATTAACGAAACATAGAGCGGCCTAAGTTTCCAGACTCTGACTTTGAACGTAACTTTGACACAGATCTGAACAAAAGCACAGTAAGTAAGTAAGTAAGTAAGTTTTTATTTATATACCGCCTTTTCACTGCAGATCAGAGTCTCAAAGCGGTTTACAATTGTTAATTTTGGGCATTTGTCTCTCACTCCACACAGAGATGGGAGCGGGGTCGCCAGTACAGGAGGTGCATGCTAGAACTATTGGACATATTTTTAGTGGTAGGGGAAACCGGAGTACCCGGAGGAAACCTACGCAGACACGGGGAGAACATGCAAACTCCACTCAGAAAGGCCCTGGTCCGACCGGGATTCGAACCCAGGACCTTCTTGCTGAGAGGCGAGAGTGCTATCCACTCAGCCACCGTGCCGCCCAGTTGCACAGTTGATCTTTTGTTCAGATAAATTATTGAGTTTGTCCTGAGACTGTGAACGTGCAACTTATTCACTCTGCAAATGTCACGGCTGCATAAAACCCTGCAGATTTTATACGAAGGGATAAATAATGAGACATAACTAGTCGGGCTGGGAATCGGCAAAAATGTGACAATTTGACAGAAATGATTGTGATTCTTAGCATATTGCGATTCGATTTTGAGATATATCGCGATTAATGTCCTCATATTTTTCAAAGGCATTACAACAAGTGCAAAAACTCGATCCTTTGAACATTCAGGATTTTATTACAGGACACCTTCTGAAACTCAGCTCAACTCAAAACATCAAAATGAAACGATAAGTTAGAGATAATGTATCGTACGCAGGTCATATCGGATAAGTACCGTCAGGGCGGAGCGGACCCCGTCTCTCGCAGAGACAGTAGTAGCGAGTGGCTGGAACACATCTGAATTACAAGCAGAGAGTGCGTTGCCAAAGGGCAGCGGTCATTATTGTTTTGTCCGTTTTGAATGTTTTGAAATGACATTAAAATCAGTGGAGCGTTCTGCTGCTGCTGTGAGGAGCGTGTGATAATTATTGATATGAATATTGAAATACTTACTTTACTGTGTCGATTTAATTGTGTGTGCAAAATATCGCGATACTGAACAGAATAATTCCCCCCCACTATTAATAACAACATGGTCCATACAGTAATCATTTGGAATCATCAGACAACAACCCACTTGGATTCATGAGACAACACCCCATTACAATAATAATATTAATAATAATAATTTAGATTGTATTTGTGGATAACTTTGGTACACACCGAGGAGATCGTTGTTCAGATAAATATGGATAGATGTTTCCTAGTATCTTCAGGGCGGTATTGTTGACAAGCTTCTTGGACGTCATGCTTTTATAATCATTTGAATCAGGACATTAGGTTATTGCAGCTTCCTGAGCAAAGGAAAACAGAGAAACATGAAGCCTGCGTTTATTAACAATGTTACTATAATTCAATGAAAAAGGGAGAAAATAAGATTTAAAGCAGCAGGTGATAAACATGCAGCTCCTGAAGTAACTTTGCAGCAAACAACAAGACTAAATATATACTTCACAAATTGTCCTGCAAGTGAAATGTTTTTATCGGTGAAGGAGTCGTGGGAAGTTATCGTTCTACAACTTCATTTATTTTCTAACACAAAAATAATACTTTTTTCACCCGTTTGATGCAGGACAGAAAGAGAAGCAGAAAGGTGTTTCTATTCTCAGTCAGCTGATGATGGAGGACCAGAGAGACCAGAGAGAGACCAGAGAGAGAGAGACCAGAGAGAGACCAGAGAGAGACCAGAGAGAGAGAGACCAGAGAGAGACCAGAGAGAGACCAGAGAGAGACCAGAGAGAGACCAGAGAGAGAGAGACCAGAGAGAGACCAGAGAGAGACCAGAGAGAGAGAGACCAGAGAGAGACCAGAGAGAGACCAGAGAGAGAGGCCAGAGAGAGAGACCAGAGAGAGAGACCAGAGAGAGAGACCAGAGAGAGAGACCAGAGAGAGAGACCAGAGAGAGAGACCAGAGAGAGACCAGAGAGAGATCAGAGAGAGACCAGCGAGAGACCAGAGAGAGAGACCAGAGAGAGACCAGAGCGAGACCAGAGAGAGAGACCAGAGAGAGAGACCAGAGAGAGACCAGAGAGAGATCAGAGAAAGACCAGAGAAAGACCAGAGAGAGACCAGAAAGAAACCAGAGAAAGACCAGAAAGGGAGACCAGAAAGGGAGACCAGGAGGAAGCCGGAGCAGTTGGACAAAACCTACGCAGACACAGGGAGAACATGCAAACTCCATTCAGAAAGGCCCTGTACCGATCGGGATTCGAACCCAGGACTTTTCTTGCAGAGAAGCGAGAGCACAAACCACTGGCCCGTCATACTGTAGTCCAGCACGGGCCGAGTAGCCTCCCCCCTGTTCCCCTCTGTGCGAGTCAAAGTCCCCTATTCATTGAGTCCAAATTCAGTCCAAGTCCAGTCTTAGACCAGTCCCTGTCACTCCTCCCAGTCAGTGTGTGCCTCTGTGTGAATAACCTTGAGTTGGGGAATGGTGTCATTCCACTCCATTGTTCTACTGTACAGTATGTGACATCACAACACATGCTTGTGGTATAGAACAGGTGAAAGAGTGTGGAGAAAAACAAAAGCCAACCTTCACAACACAAATGGAGTAAAAGAAAAGAATGAGGGTTGGATCCCATTGTTATAATGTTACAGACTTTAGGATTATCCGACAAAAATCCATAAAGCGACAGTAGCTCAGTTGGTAGAGCAGTGGCCTTTGAGCCTGGAGATCGTGAGTTCGATTCCCACCATGGGACCTACTCCAACTGCTCCCACTGATGTCTACTGTCGTTGTGTCCTTGGGCAAGACACTTAACCCCACGTTGTCTGAAGCCCCCCGCTGAAAGACCAAGGCTGTTTCACCGCTGACAGAGCAGCCATCTTTCTGTGGACTCACCCCCTGCAGAGGATCAGAGGGACTGGTGCTATGAGACTTGGGTGGCAGCTCTCATTGCCCCCCCCCCTGACCCAGAAATGGACAATAAAGGGCTTGAAAATGAATGAATGAATGAATGAATCCATAAAGCTTCTGACTTTATTTTTGATTGGAAATATTCTAAAGTATATCATTCACTGTGTACATCAAACTGCATTTTTAAATACAAAATAAACAGCTTGTTTCCTGACCTTCTAAAGTCTTCTCAGAAAAATGACCCTGAGTGTGACAGCATATATATCCAAATTAACCTGTTTTTCATCTAACTCCTTCCCTGACGTCTTTTGATATTCCGCCGCTGAACAGATTATCAGAATTGAATTCTGAGTCCTCCCAGAGTCACAAGGTCAGCTCCTCGAGACACTTTCCCAAAATAAAAACTCAAAATGTCAAGAAGTCCAAAAAGGTAAAGCAGCAGCGGCGCGAGCAACTCCCAGAAGTAGCGCATAAAAATGTCAAATATAATTACTACCTCATTTTTGTCCGTATCGAGTTGCACAGAGTACGAGAGGCGCATTCCTCAGGCCTCGTCGTCGTGGAAACCCGAGCGGACACACGTTTATGACACGCAGCAGCACATGATCCGGCTGGAGATGTACGATCAAGGCCCTGGCATAAGGCCGGGATTAGGACTACAAAGGCGACTCCTCGTGCCACGATATGTAACTGCCAGCACCTCGGATCTCCACAACATTTGGCCCCGAGTCGGTTGCCGTGGACACAAACAGAACGGCGGCGGTGGCGACAACAGGCTCCGGTTCGCTTGCCTATGGACACTTGAGCGGCTGCAGTAGCGGAAAGAGAGAAACTCGAAACATTTGGACACGTGGCTTTGATTGTGAGGAACAGAACGTGGATGCAAAGGTCTTATTTATAACTTTGCTGTCGGTGAATATAAAGTCTGTAAATACATTGGACATGTCATCGCTGGACCTGTGGAGCGGTCGCCTCTTTCCAAACTCAGTCCTGGATGTCACCTGTCAGCCCATGGCAAGGCAAGTTTATCTGTATAGCACAGTTCACGTAAAAGGCAACTCACAAACAGGACAGAAACAATCACACAAGGCATTCAAATGAGAAAAAATCACTGTAAAATAAAAAGAGTAAATATTCATTATTTTAATTTGTCTGCACAGCTGTTTTTAACCTGGATTTGAACATTGTCAAAGAAGAAGCCTTTCTCACATTTTCAGGAAGACTGCATATTTTTGTAATGCAGACTCCCCATGTTTAGTTCTGACTCTGGGACCAGCAGGAGTCCAGTCCCTGTGCTCCTCAGAGTCCCAGCAGGAGTCCAGTCCCTGTGCTCCTCAGAGTCCCAGCAGGAGGCCAGTCCCTGTGCTCCTCAGAGTCCCAGCAGGAGGCCAGTCCCTGTGCTCCTCAGAGTCCCAGCAGGAGGCCAGTCCCTGTGCTCCTCAGAGTCCCAGCAGGAGGCCAGTCCCTGTGCTCCTCAGAGTCCCAGCAGGAGTCCAGTCCCTGTGCTCCTCAGAGTCCGGGCTGGTTCATATGGGACTAACATGTCACTAATATATTTTGGTGCGAGGCCATGGAGAGACTTGTAACAAGCAGAGCTGTTTTAAAGTCTATTCTCTGAGCCACAGGAAGCCAGTGCAGAGACCTGAGGACTGGACTAATGTGGTCGTACTTCCTGGTTCTAGTCAGGACTAATGTGGTCGTACTTCCTGGTTCTAGTCAGGACTAATATGGTCGTACTTCCTGGTTCTAGTCAGGACTAATGTGGTCGTACTTCCTGGTTCTCGTCAGGACTCGAGCAGCAGCGTTATGAATATACTGCAGCTGTTTTACAACTCATGGGAGTGGCTCGCTCTCCCACCGGGTAGTGGTGTGGCTGATGCAGGAGGTGTGAGGGTATAAATGGACACTTGCCACGGCCTCATGGACCAATGGCTATTCGTATTATTGTCCTTTCTTGCGTTCTAATTGTTTGTTCCTCTAATGCTGCGGCTGGCACAAAGACCATTTCTATAGCGTCCTTCGAGATGAGTTTAGTTGTGACTTTGGGGCGAAACAAAAACAATATATTTGACAGTGAAGTTTGTGTACTTTGTCAGCAGACAAAAGTTAAAGTATTTCTGTATATTTTTATCTGAATCTCCACAAACTTAACCTGTACTTGTCCAGCTTGTTGCTTGTTCTTTTGGCTATGATGTTTAATGCCGTCCCACCTCCACATGCGGTTGCTTCATCTTAATGTGAGTATAAATATCCAGGTTTGCAACTGTTTCAAATGAGAATGTCCTTTTCTTCTGTATAAATAAAACAAAGCGATTGGCAAAACTATTCTTCCCAAGACGACAACTCAAAATAAAAAGAATCAAGTTATCTGTCTCGTGTTTAAGCTTCCAGTCTATTTTGATTCAACACTTTACATTTACCACTTTCTTGGGACTGACACAATAGACCATAAAACCTCACGGATCCAGCAGATGAGTGGAGTTAACGCTCACATGTTCCCGTTGCCGAAGGAAGCACATCTGCAGCATGTTTTTGCAATTGTCATTTTTCTCATAAGAATTGGGGACATCTGGGGCCTCCGCAATGGCCCCTCGCTGCTGCTGCTGCTGCTGCTTCTGCTGTTTTAGAATTGCAACCTGTGGACTTTTGTAACCTTGTACAACCTGCGTGGAAGCTTCTACGACTCTCATCAAAGCCGGGTAAAGGAACCGGCCGAGTTCTGAGGAGCAAAGTACTGATAAATCCATCAAAAGAGCTGACCGCGCTAACCAAAAACACATGGCATCTGCGCAACAACTACTACAAATGAGAGGAATATATATTGGGCAGTAAATCTGAGCAGAAAGTAGTGTCTGACTTAGATTCCAGACACAGATCAGCAGCAAGTGGTGCAGAGACGGATCCGATTTCTTATAGAATTGATAATAGTAAGATTGTGCCACATTTAAAACTGTGAAAACAAACATTTAGGCAAAAGTAGGGGAGCCTAAAATGTCAACATGCTGTTTATAATAATCAGGCCACAATACGCTGCGTTTATTATCAATAGGAAAAATCCATTGTATTTTTTTTGCAAACTAGTAAGAAACAGCCCTGTGAGTTGCTACATTGGATTGGATTGGACTATATGGAGCTTTGAGGTGAGTTCTGATTGGCTGAGTCCGAGAGGTCAGTTAAAACACAGTCCCTCCCGCAGCATAAGCACTGACCGTAGGGGAGGGGGCTCGGCAGAAGTAATGTCATTGATGGAAGAGGGTGAGCCAGATTTTTAAAGGAAAGGAACTAAGTGTACCAGGTGGGGGATTACAGCCAGGCTGCTTGGTCCTCACCCTGGGAGTGTATATTGCTAATATATTTTTATTTCTCTCCCTAGAACGTTAGAGAAAGCCATGGTCTGCATCTGAGGTGAAGGCTGTGGAGAAGACCATGACACCTTTCATACAGACTGGAAAGGTCCCTGGGAAGTCTCACTGCCTGGCCTGGCCTGGCCTGGCCTGCATTAATGCCTCACCAGATGACCTTAGACATCGGACATGGAGTGGCATTAAATTCTATGTCAAAAATAGAATCACTGCAATTTGAAAAAAAAAAATCTAAAATAAAATTCCTTTAAAATAGTTGTTTGGTTTCTATTGACTGTTTTGTATTACTTAAAGTAGTCCCAGTAAAAAAAGATTATGTCTATGGGTCCCATTCTGAACGGCCCTGTCAAAGGGACCCACCAGGTAACAAAAACGTGTATGTGTGTGTGTGTGTGTGCGTATGAGTGCGTGTGTGCGTAAGTGTGCTTATGTGTGTGTGTGTATGTGCGTATGTGTGTGTGTGTGTGTGTGTATGTGCTTGTATGTGTGTGTGTGTATGTGCGTATGTGTGTGTGTGTGTGTGTATGTGCGTATGTGTGTGTATGTGTGCGTGTGTGCGTGTGTGTGTGTGTATGTGTGTATGTGCGTATGTGTGTGTATGTGTGCGTGTGTGTGTGATTTGTAACGAACGAGTCAATAAAGGTGTCTGGAAGAGGAACTAATTAGGAAATAACGCTAATTCAAGTGGAGTCAGATCTGAGGAGAAACATAGGGATTTTAGCTCTGCGTCTGCGACTGCGTCTCTGCGTCTGCGTCTGCGTCTGGCACGGAGCTCCAACTTCAGTCTGACATTTGTTCAACATTTGTCAGTTTTGTGCTCGGTGTTAAGTGGCTCTGTCTCCCAGCTCTGCAGTTTGTTTGTCGTGTTTGAGATCGATCATCAGGACACGGTGGCAGCACCACACACAGAGCATTCAGACATGTGCTCACTAAAGACGGTCTAGGGATTAATCAGGGCTGCAATTAAGCACTACATTAAAAAATTAATTAAAACATCTAGTTTAAATTACGATTAAATGTGATAGAGGAGGGTCTAAGGACTGAGGTGATGATCCAGGACACTCATCCAGCAACATTTATGACATTTATCAACATTTACGGACCTTGGTCTCTGCCCCTTATGGACCAATGGCTCTATGTGTTTTTATCACTGCATTTCATGAGTTTGAACTGTTTGCTTCTATAATCTGAGATAACTACTGCTGTGATTTAGAGCTATACAAAAAGGAATTGTATTGAATATTATCTGAATATGTTGTAAAAATCCTCCCTTAATTATTGAAGTTATGTAGCTCCCAGCAGCAAACAGACAAACAGCAGTGATCACTTTACCTCCTGGGTGGAGATAAGAAGGACATCACATAGTTGTAATAATCTTTTGTTGTTATAAATACAGTATGTATTTTCCGTCTGCAGGACAAACTCTGACTACCTCCAATCAGGAAACAAGACAAGACAATACTGATAATTGTTAGAATCACTGTTGCATTTTTCTATGAATTTTACAAGTAAGAAATTGCCAAGTCTTGAAATCATCCAAGCCTCGATCAAATAGAGACACAATCCAATCTCAAATGTGCGCTAGTCAGCCTCCTGTGTGGACACATTAGCATTTAGATCGTCTCCAGCCGTTGAAATACACCAAAGGGGAAAGAGTAGAAAGTCCAGTTTGTGTGACGTCTGTCGTTCTGCACTCGCCACATCCCATAATATCCTCCCAATGAGTGAGACACCGTGTTGTCACAATGCTCAGCCATGACAGACACCGGACCAGAGCTGTGTCCAATCTTTAAGAGACAGGTGGCAAGAGCGTGTGGAGAAAAGCAGATGAAATGAGAATCCCACCCTCTCCCGTGCCGAGCTCTAAGCCACGGAACACGACCGACCTGAGTCTATCGATTCTACTCTGTGTTAATTAAATCTGACTGGGGGGTCGGAGAGAAGAAGAAGAAGAAGAAGAAGTGTTTACAGCCACAGTGTAGGTGTGGGCCATTTTCTTACGCTTCATCCGTTGCCGGGTCTCGGGGCAAGAACAGTAGAATTTAACTCTAGAACTCCCGGAGCGTGTTTACTCGGCTCATGTACATTCTTGGTATTCCGAACTTTATGACTTTTTCTGTCTATGTGTTATTTATTGGTCATTATTTTGATTGAAATTGCCTTTACCTCCTGCCGTCAGTAATAGTCACCATAGCAACATGTTTACTTGCCAACAAACTGCTTTTTGCTGTTTTTCCAATTATATTTGCCAGTGTTGAGTGTTAATGATTCATGTAAATTCAATGTATTCCTGTATAGCCCTATTCCGGATTACTTGCTTCGAGTGAAAGCCTTGCTACCCAAGAAACGCAGGCGTCGGGGAGTGCGCAGTGGTAAGCTAGTCAGGTTGAAATCCTGGCTAGCCTTATCTCCGGAGTTGATCTGGTGCCCAGCGAGTGTTCCCCGGGACTACGATGAGTGTCTTCGTCGCCTCATCGCTCGACGTCAGCTGGCTCCTATTGCTCCAGCTTGGCTGCAGCCAGTGATCGGTGAGCGGGGAGTGTCTGCGGCTCTTCGCCCTCGCCGATGTCGCCTTCAGGAGCTCCACAATCTTCGCACGCTGAATCACGTCTCTTCTGCTGCTAAAGTGCCCCAAACTTCTCTGAAATGTGCACTTCTGAACGCAAGATCCGCAAGGAATAAGACTTTTATTCTACGGGACCTCATCTTTTCGCACTCGTTGGATTTATTCTTTCTGACGGAGACCTGGATAAGTGCGGGTGAGTTGGCTGCCTTTACTGAACTTGTACCTCCGGACTGTGTTTTCATAAATACGCCGAGGCATAGTGGTCGAGGAGGTGGTGTTGCGTCGATATTGAAAAACAACTTGTGCTACAAGCCTCTGCCAGCGATGTCCTTTACTTCATTTGAAGTTAGTTGCTTTGAATTAGGACAGAATGAACCCGTTTTCTGCGCGCTGGTCTACAGACCGCCAAAGTACAATAAGAACTTCATCAATGACTTTTCTGAGTTTATGTCTCTAGTGTTGATGGACTATGACAAGTTTTTAATTGTTGGAGACTTCAATCTACACGTCTGTTGTTCAGCTACTCCTTTGGTGAAGGACTTTTTAGATTTGGTTGAAGGTTTTAATTTAGTGCAACACGTTACTAGACCCACACAGATACGTGGCCATACTTTGGACTTGGTTTTGTCTTGCAATCTGTCTGTTTACAATTTACAAGTTGGAGATGCTATTATTTCTGATCATTGTCCTGTTTTATTTGAATTCACAATGAATGATTGCGTTAAGCCGCCCTGTCCTGTGCGCTATTGTCGCACTCTTCGGCCAGACACGGCAGCATCTTTTTCCTCTCTTTTTTTAGCTAGCGCCCAACCTGAAATAAGTGCTGTGTCTGTGTGCCAGGATACTGAGAAAATGACTAATTCATTTATTGCTGTATGCACAGAAATTCTTGACTCTGTAGCTCCACACAAAGCTCAGCGCCCCAGAGCCAAGCCTGTACCATGGCTCAACGTCAGTACGCGTGAGGCCAGACGTATATGTCGGCAGGCAGAGAGGAAGTGGAAAAAGGATCGGCTACAGGTGTCATATGAAATCTTAGTTGGCAGCTGGAAAACTTATCAAAAAATGGTCAGACTGCAGAAAATCAAATATTTCTCTGATGTTGTCCAAAGAAATGCAAATAATCCACGTGTTTTATTTCAAACCATTGGGTCTGTTTTAAACCCGCCCCAATCTACTTTTGTCCAATCTAGCACTCAAAGTTGTGAAGATTTTTTGTCTTTTTTCACAAACAAGGTTGCGCTTATTCGTTCAAGCATATTGCCCCCTTCTATTGACTTCTGCATAAATCAGCCCTGCTCAGCGGTTTTTACACGGTTTGAGCCAATGTCTTTGCAGTCTCTAACAAAAATTGTCAGTCAAATAAAACCCTCATCTTGTCCTACAGACCCGGTCCCTCCGAGGTTGTTCAAAGATGTGTGGGAAACAATTGGTGCTTGTGTTTGTGAAATTGTGAACAGTAGCCTTGTTTCAGGAGTTGTCCCTTCCTTTTGTAAACAGGCTGTAATTGAACCACTTCTCAAGAAATCAAGCCTTGATACCTCCATTGTCTCTAATTATCGGCCGATTTCCAAACTTCCTTTTTTATCTAAACTGTTGGAAAAAAGTGTGCTCTGTCAATTACAGCCCTTTCTTGATGCACATGGTGTGTCAGACATGTTCCAGTCAGGTTTTAAAAGTTTGCATAGCACTGAATCTGCACTTTTAAAGGTTTTTAATGACCTGTTTTTAGTGACTGACTCAGGTAGTTCTGCCATTTTAGTGCTTTTAGACCTGACTGCTGCTTTTGACACGATTGACCACACAATTATTTTAGACCGACTCCGAGACAGTGTGGGTGTCAGGGGGACTGCTTTAGACTGGTTCAGGTCATACCTCAGTGGGAGGTCTTTCTCCGTTAGGCTTGGGGACTCCACCTCATCCTCTGCCTTCCTGCGCTGTGGAGTTCCCCAGGGTTCAATTCTTGGCCCAATTCTGTTTGCCCTTTATCTCCTCCCACTGAGTCAAATCTTTAAGAGGCACAGCATCTCATACCATTTTTATGCAGATGACTGTCAAATTTACTTGCCTCTTTCCAAGACAGCTAAAGGCCCCCTGACACCCTTGCTTGCCTGCCTGAGTGACGTCAAGGCTTGGTTGGCCCAAAATTTCCTAAGTCTTAATGAGGGGAAAACTGAAATTGTTATTTTTGGGCCCACTGACCCCTTAATGGACTTGGGCCCCTTTAAAGACAACGTTCTCCCCTCTGCCACCAACCTTGGCGTCACCATGGACAGTGATTTTAATTTTACTAAACAGATTAATACAGTCGTCAAGTCAGGCTTTTACCATCTTCGCCTTTTATCTAAAGTCAAACCGTTTTTATCTTTTAAACATTTTGAACAAGTCGTGCATGCTTTTATTTCGTCACGCCTGGACTACTGTAATGCTCTTTATACAGGCATTACCCAAAATGCACTGTCACGCTTACAGTTAGTCCAGAACTCCGCTGCACGACTTATTACTGGAGCTAAAAAGCGTGACCATATTTCACCAATCCTCGCATCTTTGCACTGGCTTCCAGTCAAATTTAGAATTGATTTTAAGGTTTTGTTGTTTGTTTTTAAAGCGTTAAACGGACTGGCCCCTCAGTACGTCACAGACCTCATTGAAGTCTACACCCCAACGCGCGCTCTGAGGTCTGAGGGCCAGCTCCAGCTCGTGGTTCCTAAGACGAAACGTAAAACTCGAGGGGACAGAGCGTTCTCCGTCATCGGCCCTAAGCTGTGGAACGCTCTGCCCCTCCACGTCCGAACAGCCACAACATTGGAGTGTTTTAAATCTCGTCTTAAAACCCACTTTTATTCTCTGGCTTTTAACACCGCGTGAGTTGTGTGGTCCCTGTGTCTTTTTAATTTTTGTTTTGTGTTTTATGATTTTTATTGATTTTATAAATTGACTATTTATTTATTTATTTTTTATTCTATTTTTTGTGTACTTTTTTGTGCAGCACTTTGGAACTGTTCTGTTGTTTAAATGTGCTATAGAAATAAAGTGGATTGGATTGGATTGGATATAAGATAAGATAAGATAAGAATTCCTTTATTCGTCTCACAGTGGGGAAATTTCGATGTTGCATCGCACAGACCGGACAGTAGTAAGAGCACACAGGGAGCACAAACAATATATACACTATATACAAATAAGTAGTAGCTATGTTTCTTAGCTAACATAACTAGCTGTAGATGCTGAAAATGCTTCAATACCAGTCAAAATATATATATGTAGTAGTGCAGTTATATACTGTACAGTTAAATAGTGCAGGATAATAAGTATATAAGTAAAGTGACATTGTTCTGTGACATTCTGAAGTTGCAGTATTACACATTGCACATGATTTAAGAATTTAATTAGTTACAAATGAATGAAATATCAAACTATGTAAACAACGGCTGAGTGAGAAATGCTCCGGATTCAAGTTTCACGAGTCAAAGGTGTTTGTACCAATTAAAACTTTGATGCAACACGTTTTTAAATGTACAATATTTGTGAAAGTAACTTTATTTCAACACATTTGGGTGGTGCTTGAAGCAGGTGTAGGAAGCTAAAGTGAGATTTGATATAACGAACACAATAATGCTTCTACTGCCTCTACGTTAGATGTAAGCCAGGGGTGTCCAAACTTTTTAGTAGGGCCACTTTAGACTTGTTCAGGGGCCGACAACCTGTATGGTTAAACTGTGTTGACTGGATTCAGGTCGTCCATCCATCCATCCATTTTCTTCCGCTTTATCCGTTGCCGGGTCGCGGGGGCAGCAGTCTAAGCAGAGACGCCCAGACTTCCCTATCCACACACACTTCCTCCAGCTCATCCGGGGGGACCCCAAGGCGTTCCCAGGCCAGCTGAGAGACATAGTCCCTCCAGCGTGTCCTAGGTCTTCCGCGGGGCCTCCTCCCGGTGGGACGTGCCCGGAACACCTCCCCAGGGAGGCGTCCAGGAGGCATCCGGAACAGATGCCCGAGCCACCTCAACTGGTTCCTCTCGACGTGGAGAATCAGCGGCTCTACTCCGAGCTCCTCCCGTGTGACTGAGCTCCTCACCCTATCTCTAAGGGAGCGCCCAGCCACTCTGCGGAGGAAGCTCATTTCGACCGCTTGTATCCGCGATCTCGTTCTTTCGGTCATTACCCAAAGCTCATGACCATAGGTGAGGGAGGGAACGAAGATTGACCGGTAAATCGAGAGCTTTGCCTTTCGGCTCAGCTCCCTCTTCACCACAACGGTCCGATACAGCGACCGCATAACTGCGCACGCTGCACCGATCCGCCTGTCAATCTCACGCTCCATCCTCCCCTCACTCGTGAACAAGACCCCGAGATACTTGAACTCCTCCACTTGAGGAAGGACCTCTCCACCCACCTGCAGAGGGCAAGGCACCTTTTTCCGGTCGAGCACCATGGCCTCGGATTTGGAGGTGCTGATTCTCATCCCAGCCGCTTCACACTCGGCTGCAAACCGCCCCAGTGCATGCTGCAGGTCCTGGTTCGTTGGAGCCAACAGGACAACATCGTCCGCAAACAGCAGAGATGAAATCCTGTGGTCTCCGAACCGGACCCCCTCCGACCCCTGGCTGCGCCTAGATATTCTGTCCATAAATACAGTGAACAGAAACCGGTGACAAAGGGCAGCCCTGTCGGAGGCCAACATTCACCGGGAACAGGTCTGACTTACTGCCGGCAATGCGAACACAGCTCTGGCTCCGGTCATACAGGGATCGGATGGCCCTCAGCAGAGGACCTCCGACCCCGTACTCCCGGAGAACCCCCCAAAGGACACCCCGGGGAACACAGTCGAACGCCTTCTCCAAATCCACAAAGCACATGTGGACAGGTTGGGCGAACTCCCATGAACCCTCGAGTATCCGATGGAGAGTATAGAGCTGGTCCAGTGTTCCGCGACCGGGACAAAAACCACACTGCTCCTCCTGGATCCGAGATTCGACCATCGGCCGTAACCTCCTCTCCAGTACCTTGGAGTAGACCTTACCGGGGAGGCTGAGGAGTGTGATCCCACGATAATTGGAACACACCCTCCGGTCCCCCTTCTTGTAGAGAGGGACCCACCACCCCGGTCTGCCACTCCATTGGCACTGCCCCCGATCGCCACGCGATGTTGCAGAGACGTGTCAGCCAAGACAGTCCTACAACATCCAGAGACTTTAGATAGTCAGGGCGGATCTCATCCACACCCGGAGCCTTGCCACCATGGAGGCTACCAACCACCTTGGTGACCTCAGCCAGGGAGATGGATGTACCCGCCCCAACATCCTCAGCCTCTGCCTCTGTAACGGAGGACGTGACGGGGGGATTGAGGAGAACCTCAAAGTATTCCTTCCACCGCCCGACAATATCCCCAGTCGAGGTCAGCAGCTCTCCACACGCACCTCATGCTCCATGGACTCTCCGAACTCCTCCCAGTCCCGGGTTTTTGCCTCTGCAACAGCCCGGGCCGCGGCACGCTTGGCCTGCCGGTACTGGACAGCTGCCTCAGGAGTCCCCCGAACCATCATGGCTCGATAGGACTCCTTCTTCAGCCTGACAGCATCCCTTACTGCCGGTGTCCACCACCGGGTTCGGGGGTTGCCGCCGGGACCAGCACCAGAGACCTTGCAACCACAGCTACGAGCCGCCGCATCGGCGATTGAGGCAGAGAACATGGTCCACTCGGACTCCATGTCCCCCTCCTCCGCCGGGACCTGGGAGAAACTCTCCCGGAGGTGTGAGTTGAAAGTCCGTCTGACAGGGGGCTCAGCGAGACGTTCCCAGCAGACCCTCACTATACGCTTGGGTCTGCCAGGTCTGACCGGCTTCTTCCCCTGCCAGCGGATCCAACTCACGACCAGGTGATGATCGGTTGACAGCTCCGCCCCTCTCTTTACCCGAGTGTCCGAGACACGCGGTCGAAGGTCAGATGATACGACAACAAAGTCGATCATCGACCTCCGGCCTAGGGTGTCCTGGTGCCACGTGCACTGGTGGACACCCTTGTGCTCGAACATGGTGTTCGTGATGGACAAACCGCGACTGGCACAGAAGTCCAACAACTGAACACCGCTCGGGTTCAGATCAGGGGGGCCGCTCTTCCCGATCACCCCTCTCCAAGTGTCACTGGCGTTTACCACATGGGCGTTGAAGTCCCCCAAGAGAATAACGGAGTCCCCGGGCGGTGCACCGTCCAGTACCCCTCCCAAGGACTCCAAGAAGGCCGGGTACTCTACACTGCCGTTAGGCCCGTAGGCCGTCACAACAGTGAGACCCTCTCATTCACCGGGGAGAACTCCAACACGTGGCGGCTGAGATGGGGGGCAATGAGAATGGCCACCCCAGCTCGCCGCCTCTCCCCGCGGGAAACTCCAGAAAAGTGGAGCGTCCAACCCCTCTCAAGGAGTTGGGTTCCAGAGCCCAAGCTGTGTGTGGAGGTGAGGCCGACTATCTCTAGTCGGTATCACTCAACCTCCCCCACGAGCTCGGGCTCCTTCCCCCCCAGTGAGGTGACGTTCCACGTCCCAAGAGCCAGATGTTGTGTGTGCGGACTGGGTCGCCGAGGTCTCCGCCTTCGACTGCCGCCCAGTCCTCTCAGCACCGATTCAGGTCGTTCTGAGCTTTAACATGGAGCATAATGTTCATATTCAAACCACAGCTACATTAATAATGCTTCGGTTCACTATGACACTTTCAGACATTCAAAGACGCTTCACGTCATTATTCTTTGATATGCAATAAACTACTACTGTAGCCACAGCTGCCCTGGGGCACACTGACGAAAGCAAGCCAACCAGTATTTTCCATCGGCCCCTCCCACCACCACCAACCACTCACACACACACCAGTCATTCTAGGATATGTGGGTGAAGTGTCTTGCCTAAGGACACAGCCGCAGCCCTGTCCTGCTTAGCATCAGAGGTCTGATGGGATCTGGCTTTCACATGGCCACCATTAGCATCATTTATGGGATTTTTAGATATAATAAAAAAGTCACTGTATAGAAATAAAATTAATGATTAGAGGTCCTGAGAAAGGTTTAAGTAAGTAATGTTTATTTATATACCGCCTTCCACAGACCAGAGTCTCAAAGCAGTTTACAATTGTTACTGTATTTTGGGCATTAGTCTCTCACTCCACACAGAGATGGGAGGCGCCAGTACAGGAGGCACATGCCAGAACTATTGGACATATTTTTAGTGGTAGGGGAAACCGGAGTACCCGGTTTCCCCTACCACTCCCCGCAGACACGGGGAGAACATGCAAACTCCACTCAGAAAGGCCCTGGTCCGACCGGGATTCGAACCCAGGACCTTCTTGCTGAGAGGCAAGAGTGCTATCCTCTAAGCCACCGTGCCACCATTTAGCATGACTATACTGTTGGAGCTGAAGTTGGCTGGATGACACTGTGAAAGTAGTAAAGTTCTGTGTGTGTGGGGTACAAAAACACATCTTGGGAAAAGAGGACAGGTTTAATCATTATGTTTTAATTTATTTATATATGGTTAATATAGTGTAGTCTTCATCAGTAAAGTTCCTGCTCTCTGGGATCAGGACCAGCAGATCCCGAAGGAGCAATGTAAAATCAAGTATTTATGGCCAGAGACAAACGCCAAAGTGCCGGTCCGACTGTTTCTTTGAAAGTGCAGCGCACTGTGAGAAGGCCATGTTTATAACGTGGTACAATCCAAACCTCCTGCTGTGCTCCGTGGTGAGAGGGCAGAGGAGTAAGGCTCCAGAGGTCGAGAGGGCGGCGCTGTTGTGAGTCCTCTGAGACCTTTTGTGCGTTTGTCTTGTTTTACACTGATCAAAATGCAACGACACACTCCCGATAGAGGATCACTGTTTCTCTGCATTTCATTAGCTCGTCATGTGTTTATCTCACAACATGTAAATCAGGAAAATCAATAAGCGGAATAGTTTAACGTATAGAATTAACATGTTGTGTATTGTAAACAACAAAAGTGAGCTGAGAATTGTGAAGCTAAGGTGGACAGAAAGTGAAACTAAATCAAAACCACAGGAGAACTAATGTTAAAATAAAACCAAGCACCATATAACAAAATGTGAGGGATGTGGCAGGAGTAAGGTACACATTATTTTTAAGGAATTATCAAAGATCATTCAAATTTGCATAAATCACTCACGATGAAGAGTGAGTTCATGATGCACCGCTTTGTCTAAACATAATAATCCACTGCTCCACACGTGTCTTTGAAGAATATTTTACAGTTTAAACAGTTCAGGCAAAGCCATCAGAGACAAGAGGATCCAACATTCACCAGTGCCTTGAAAAAAAACACTTTGAACTTCTGGATATTTGGTTTGTTGAGTAAAAATACAGGCGAGGGGAAAAATATCCTTAAGCCACGTCCAGTTAGTCCTTCAACTGGTTTGATTCTGACAGCACCCGGAGGAAACCTGCGCAGACACAGGTAGAACATGCAAACTTCACTCAAAGACCCGCAGAGGAAGGTTTAAAAGTGTTTTTGTCTACAAACATTATGGAAGCTCTACTTTAAAATGTAAAATATAAAACTATCTGTTTGGTTATAATCTGGTGCAGACCTGTCTGTCTTTGAGCTTAATGTCTCTACATGGTCCCTTCAAATAAAGACATGAAACAATATATTTATATACAAAAGAATCCTCTTAAGCTCTTGAGCCCCCGCCGGAGAAAAAAAAATACTTCTGCTGGCAATAGCAGATGTATTTTGAACTTCATAATCCACAAGCTATATATCATTTTGAAGCTTATTTTCGCAGCTATATTTATATGTAAGTGTAGACGATATCAGACTTTGCATTAAAAAGATATAACGCATAATATGGGCACAAAATAAATCGTGTTTGTATAAGTTTCTTACCTTTTGTCTTCTGCTGCCCCAACAGTGAAAAAGAATATCCACTTGTATTTCCCAAAGTATAATCCATTCTTCAGAAATAATCCAAAAATGTGCATTTTTCTGTTGCAAAAAAAAAATGTTCAGGCTTCTCTTTCACATTTCACCAAGTTTGAGCTTTGTTTAGCCACAAACATCATATCCACGTGTTCCTTGAGGCCTTAGCTTCAAAAAGAGAGGTTCCATGAAAAGATAGGAGCAGGTTTCAGTCCGCAGGAGCCTTGTGAAAAAGACAAACCGCATCCACCTGCACAGGGTCCTTTTTCCCTTGTTGTTGATTACAGGCTAGCGCTATGTGCTAGCTCTGAATGATTGACGTGTCTAAGCAGCCAATAAAAAGAGCTTTCTTTTGATGGGTGGGACTTGTAGGAACTCTTTTCATTTTCACAGTAAAAGCGTGAGTAAAGACGCTGTTAATACTGCTGCGCATATTTTATATGAATTTACACTACAAAAAAATAATGTTGAACAAATGTAAAAGAAAATTACACAGATTTGTAACTTATAAGTACCAAAACTAAATATATACTTTTTATGATGGTGAAATGTTAGTAAAGCAGTTTGGCACAATTTGGCACACATTTTGCAAAATTGGTTCCGAATGGCACTACTTGATAAAAAAAGAGAAACTGCATAAAAACTATAAAACTTAGAAGTTTGAAACTTTACACAGTTGTTGTCAACAACACAATGAACAAATTAGTGTTGAAAATTTTCTTCTTCCAATGAAGTCGGCTTTTTTAGGGCATTTATACATTGAATTTTTTAGGCGAGGCTAAAAAACAGGTTTTTTTCCCAAACTTCAAAGGATGCAGAGTGAAATAGGAATGACACACATTATTTCAGTGTATATTTACATAAACTAGAAGAGCCTAGCTTTAAAATGATGCATCACACAAGCATGTGAGATGTAAGATGTGTTTTTAAATAAGAAAAGACATTTGGGTATGACAAACTTTTGTGCACGAGCCAAAACAGATGTAGGAGTTTAAGAGGTTAAAGACAAGCACAGAGCACTGTTTCAGAATATTTCTAGGACAAATAAAATTTCAAATTTGGACAAAGCTTTTATTTTAAAAAGAGGCAAACAAACTCCTGCAATTGTTGCCATCTGAAATTTTTCACATTTCTACAAAACAAAATGGATCAATCGTTGAAACTACTGGAGATGGATTTGAGACGGAGATTGACGGACTGGAGAATATTTGGTATAATAGGGATGAGAAGAAAGACTATGGCAATGAGAGCGGTAAAATGTGGAGAATTAGCATACGATAAAAACATGAATCGACACCTCAAACACCCATCTGACCGATTTATTTCATTGATTCAAGAAGTGACACATCACATACAGCATTTCTATGATATCTATATTTTATACCAATTCCAGTGAGTTGAGATGAATAGACCATATGTTTCTCTGCTCGGGCAGTAAGTGTCAAGAGACGGATTGCGATTTCAGCAAACATATATAAAACAAGTATTGGAAATGTGTCATCTGTCAGAGCCGATCGGGCAATTTGTGCACTTTAGGCCATTCATAGGATAATGCCAGTCCCAAGCACGGAGGCGCCCCAGAGGAGAAGCAGCAGTACAGAAGAGATATTATATTGGTCCATTAGAGTCCGCCCGAATGGACCAATACCAATGTGATTCCTGTTTAAATGTTTGAACCATTTGATTTTCTGATCTGTGTTGTGGATTTCAAGGGCTTTATAAGGTCCTCTGAGATAACTACTGTTGTTATTTAGGGCTATACAAGAATACATTAAAATGAACTTAAACAGTCGGTGGACAATCCCAAGACGACAAAGTACAATGTTTTTATGTGTTGTTAAGACTGATATTTAACCACAGTTGAACCTGACAATATCTCACACAACAAACAGAAATAGTTAATCTTTTAATTAAAAGGAAAAAATGTCTTGACAGAGACCAAGCCAACCAGCTCGGCCTACATACTGCATACATATTGCCCAGAGGACTACAGGGAATTTCAATGCAATATATTTTACTTGAATATTACTTGAATTACATATTACTACATAACAATGACATATGTTTTTTACCTTTGAGTCTGGAATAAAGATTATTTTTATTATATTATTGTTATTACTTGTACCAACCCAGTGTCCTATGAATGTTTATTTATATAGTGCATTTTACAGACCAAGGTCTCCCAAAGCGCTTTACAATGTTCAGAGGTAAGTGAACAATAACTCTAAAATAACATAACTAAAACAACATTTAAAATAATACAGAAGCAAGTATAAAATGTCTCTTTCTCCCTACACATAATCTACCTGTTCAGTCTATTTCAGCGCATGAGAATGACAGAAAAGAAAGAATCTTCTGCCTCCAGATGACCAAAGGTTTCCACAATCCTGCACATGTTAGAGTAGAACCTTCAGAGCAATCCTCACTGTGAAAAAAATGAGCTGACCTGTCGACCTCACGTCACTTCATTATGTCCTGTTGTCTCTGGCCTGAAGCCCAAATGTCACATAACCGCGACCGTATCAGCTGTGTTAGACAAGGGCTAGTGTAAGTAAGTAAGTAATCTTTATTTATGTGTGTGATGTGTGTGTGTAGCAGGATTAGAGGGCCAGTCCCCGCAGGAGGCCGGGTCACACCGCAGTCATCACATCACAGACTCCAGGCTCCAGACTCCAGGCTCCAGGCTCCGAGGACCAGAGCAGCTGGAGCTCAGAGCTGCAGCGGCACGTCATCATGAGCGCTGTGCAGGTGGACGGAACTGAGGGACTGACGAATATGGAATAATGGTGGAATATCAATTTCAATGTATTTTTGTATAGCCCCAAATCATAACAGTAGATCTCGTAGAAACGTCAAATTCGCCAACCTAGATCCGAGAATCAAACACAGGAAATGCAAGAATAAAAACACGTAGAACCATTGGGGCAGATGACCACTGTCCATAAATGTGTCCTTAGACCCTCCTACTGTCCATAAATGTGTCCTTAGACCCTCCTACTGTACATAAATGTGTCCTTAGACCCTCCTACTGTACATAAATGTGTCCTTAGACCCTCCTACTGTACATAAATGTGTCCTTAGACCCTCCTACTGTTCATGGACAAGGAACAACTCTAAAAACACCTACAAACAGGTGGTATGGGAAGACTTCGGTATTGCAATAATTTACACACGCAGTTGAATCGACACAGCAGAGCAGGTGTCTCCAACCTTTTTCACCCAGAGAGCTACTTTCCCGGGTCGATAAAGGCAGAGAGCTACTCCTTTAAGCAGCACTGGGAAAAATGTGGTGATATTGGTGTGAAAAAGCCTAATATTGGGAACAGTCACTATTTATCATCACACATTTGTCACTAGTGACATAGAAAGTGCATTTACAATAATAAATAATGATGATGAAGAATACAATCAGAAATATTAAGTATTGGATTTGATTTGTTCATTTCTAAATCCTTTGACGAGCTACCGGGAAGGGGGTGGAGAGCTACTGGTGGCTCCCGAGCTACAGGTTGGAGACCCCTTCAGTAGAGCAAAGTATTGTTATATTTAAGTAGATTATTACCGGTTTCAATGTTGTGTTTTCTGAGTTTACTCCGGTAATTTACAGGTGGTTAAAGTTACTCTATTATGTCTAGTCTGTTGTGTATGAATAATGTGAGTGATGCTAGGAGCTCACCTTCATGTGAGAAGACGCCTTCAGAGAATAATGTCTTATCTCTAACAATATTCCTTTTATCGCAACAACCGCAATAATATTGAATTGTGGCTCAAATATTGCAAAACTATCATATCGTCAGACACCAGTCCACAACCTCCAACAGTCACACTCCAAACTGCACTAGACCAAAGGAAACAAAGTTGTAGACCTGCACCAGGCGGGGAAAACTAAATCTGCAACAGGTAAACAAAATCACCTTTTTGGAAGCAATTATTAGAAAATGGAAGACATACAAAACCCACTGATAAAACCACCTACAGTATGTGACACCAACATAATCGCATACCGTCTGGTCCTGAAGAATATATTTTTCACACTCATGTACTATATTGTTGGCTTCTGTCACACCTTAGCTTTCACAAGAAAAGTAAAAAAGAACGAACCAGCTCTCATCAAATAGTGACTCACAGCCTCTTTCTTATCCATGCAAAAGTTACAATGTTTGAAGAGGAAAATAACGTGTCTGATTTGTGTTATTTTTTCAGTTTGACTATTTTAGACCTGGTATTCATTTGCATAAGTCTAGCTGTTGTTTCTCTGGATGCTT